CTTTTAAAATCCTAAATATAAACTCAAGTCAACAAATTTACATTTTTCAGTTAAAGTGGGAATTTGTCTGCTAGGCCATGCTTAAGAAATTACACTGATGACTGGATACATGGATGGATGAAAGAATGTCTCAATAGTGGGTTGGTTTTTCTTAATTCTCTGAAAATGCATTAACAGACATAAGGTTTAAAAGCTGCAGAGTTTTTTCTTGTTACAATTATTTCACATCATATGAAATTAACATATTGAAGTAAGACCAGAGACTTTACTTACTAATACCAGGTCTGAATCTGTGAAGCATTTTGAGTTTTGGTATATTTGGTTCCTTGGGGTCAAGGTGGCATTTCAGGGGAGTGACCCAAGACTATGACTCAGTTTAATTCAAAACAATATTTTGGGCTGTGACAAATAAAGGTTTTCAGGATTTATATGGAAGGTAAAATGGTTTAGTGCCAAGAAATCAGAAAAAGGCATCTCAGCACTGATGAGGTTTTTCCATGATGGAGGGGGGGGGGTTGCCCTGCAAGGGGGACACAGATTTCATATCAGTTCTCACTTTACTAAAAGTTTGTGAGGTTAATGTTAATTAACCTAAAATTAATGTAAATACATGAAGTAGAAAGAGCAAAGCAATGAGTATTAAAAGTAAGCAATACCTCAGCCTACATTAATTTGCATGGTTTTGATGGAGGGAAAGGACACTGAGGAAAGCTGACTTCCCACAGCCCCAGCAGCTTGTACCTCACATCAACAGGGCACTCTCTGGAGTTTTGTCTTTGCCATGTATTACTCCTGGAGCAGGTTGTGCCTCTCAGAAAGCATTCAGTGGAAATGGAAAGATGGGTCTTTACAAAAACTTAGAGGCTTGACAGTTTTATATTCACGCTGTCTTGTGTTTCTAAAATGAGTCGATATGCACTAGTCAGTAGGTTTGAAAAGTATACAAATAATTAGTGAAGGGATCACTTGTTTAAGGTCATCTTTTGGAGTCTTATTGACCACTTCAGTTAGTCACAGCCAGTTTTTCCAAGGTTTTAAGCACCTAGCTCTCATATGATGTTCAGGGGACCTAAGCAGCAAACCAGCTTTAAGAATCTGCTTCTCTGGACCGGATTTTATCTCACCTGTGGGTGAGCATTGGACCGGAGCGCAGAAGCAGCTTTCTGACAAGATCATCTTCCACCTGAGTAACAGGCCTGCCTTCAGAGTAAAAACGATATGCCAGATGCACAGATGGTAGTGTCTGCTTCCCTCATTTGCAGTGAACAAATGAACGCATTTTTCTTCTTTAACGTATGAGATAGATCCCCTGTCACGGTCATTTAACTGATAAAGTAGCGTTCCCATTAACACAGGTTGTTTCAGAGTACAATAACATGACTTCTTTGCTATTCATTCAGATATCAGTGATTAGTAGAAATGGGAATGGAAATGAATAAAGATATTCTAGACTAGCATTTTAGATTTTCTGTTCCTAACAGTGTAGCTACCCACATACTTGCACTTATAATTTATACCTTCTCCCCTGCCAAAAAAGAACTTTAAACTGAATTGAAAATTTAGTCTTGCTATCAAATTTTGGTATCAAAAAATTACTTGGTATCAAATTTTTTCATGGAATGAAATTAAATGAAATAAGATGTGCTTACTATGCATTATTTTTACTGTTTTACATTGTAGATTCCACAACTTATGCACATTTTCTGTTTAATGCATTTGACACTGATCACAATGGATCTGTAAGTTTTGAGGTAAGTGATGCTGTTACTTCTTTCTCTGCAATTGAATATTTTGCCATTCCTTGTAATTAAGTCCAGTTTGGTGGCTTTTATTCTATGGTTCACATTACGAAAGATTTAGCTTATGTGACTCGTTTCAAGTTTTTCCAATGTATTAACAAAAGTCATTACTATTTTACAATTGTACATCCGAAAATGGTAACTCAGACTGTGCCGCTATGTAGTATTTTTATAAATCTGTTCATTTAAAAGGTAACCCTATTTATACACAAGTTACATAAAATAATCCTTATCTTCCCCCCTGCTTCTGCAAGGTGAGAAGGACTCTGAGCTTCAACTAATGTTATGGGGATGACTCAGCCAAAATAGGATTGCTTACACACTCTATTAGTTTCTAGGACAAGGCTCTACAAAAAAGGGCTTTAAAGCAAATGTATTTAAAAGCACAGGAGTTTGAAATTCACCCTTCCTCCATTTAACTGCCCAATCTGTTTTCAAAATTCTGCCTTTCCCTGCTAAGGTCAATGTCATCGCCTGCAAAGGCTGATACCATCAACGCAATAACATGGTAAAAAGGGCAACTCACTGCAATAGTTCAGATGAAAACAGGGTGTACAAAATACTGTGAAGGAGACATTATTTGAAGCTATAGAATTAAAAAAAACCCCTCAGTTCATTTGCAAAAGGATATGTTTGCTTTGTCATGTTTTGCTTTGTTTTGTTTTGTTTCTAATGGACGAATGATATCCTTACAACTTGAGATGGGATTGTGATAAATACACCCACTTTACATTTGTTTAAATGTCCTATACATGTTTTTATGGTTTACTTGAGTGGATGATGTTGTGAGGTCTGACAGAAATTTTTCTGAAAGCATTTTCATTGCTTTATTATTGATGTAATATGGAAGGAGAAGCCTCGCCAAGCAGGTGCACTGCGATCAGAAATCTATACTTCAACTGGGACTGTAACCAGATCATTTTGTGGGGGATTATTTGCATTTATTTAAAAAAACATGAACCCCATCTACCTTTGTCCGGGCAGCTGAAATCAATGAGCTCCGTGTGAAACTGGAAGCAGGAATGGAGGTTTTATTCACATCTTCTGTACATAGGCTAATTCTACAAGGAATCCTTCTGGTCAAATCAGCAACAGCAGAGGCAATGAGAGAAAACATTCTTAGCCTCAGTATTTGAGAAGTATTTCTGCTGTTATCATTAAGAATAATGAGAACAAAATAAGCTTTTGTATCTTTCCTGGACAATTTGTTGACATTTGTATCTCAGACAGAAAACCTTAAGAAATGCAGTAGATATGAAGCCCTTTTTAAGGGTTTTTAATATCTCAAAGTGCAGGTCTGTGTATAAAACAGGCTTTGGAATAAAATAAAAGAACCAGTGTTTTCTTCATTGCCAAAACAGACATTTCCAGCTTACTTTTGTTCAATACAGACTCAGACAGAGCAATCCATATATTCATATTACATACAAAGAAATATATTTATATTTCTCATATTATATATATCATATATTAATATATACATCATATATTTATATATATTACAAAATACATATATAAGAATACATATATTACATACAAAGAAATGTATTTCCTCTTAAGAGCAGCTCCTCCTCGGTGACCTTTGTTTTATGTGCAACAGGGCTCCACCACTTCTGTGACTAACTTTCATCACTTGATTCCTTTCCAAAATCCTAAGGGGTAAATCCAAAAATGGATTTAGGTGCCTGCCTACCTACTTCTTCTGGCCTTGAACAAGACATAAAGGAACACATGATCAGGTGGAATAATTTTAAGCTTTCCTATGGATTTAAGACAGCACATATTAAGCTTGTTAATTAATTAATTAATGAACTAGTTCTCCCCAAAGATTTACTGAGGTATAAAGCAATCAGAAAGTCACCAACAACCTTGCTAAGAGATAATTAACCACTGCTGGGGAGGGGGGTGGGAAGAGTTAATCCCAGATCACAGCCAGAGGCTCTATAGAGCTCTAGTGCAGAACTGGAACGTGGGCAGGCTGTGATACCGAGCACACAGAATCTCCAATACAGGTGCAACGATGCTGCATTTTGCAACCCTTCAGTGAGACATCCCCCTTTCTTGCAGAATCAAAGTTAGGCACAGAAGAGTTTGGCATTTAACTGAGGTCTTCACAGATATTAGCATGCTCAGCAGGAAGCTAGAAAGTTGGAAATAAGAAGCTGTGGAAAGGAGTAAAGGCAAGTACCAAAGCACAGACTTCTGTGCTTCTAACTCTGCTGTCATGGACTGAAGAGAGACCTGACCTAGAGTTGTGTCTCAGTCTAGAACTCCTCCGGAGTTTTAGGCTCCTTTGTGACCCTAGATCAGATGCACCTCTCCTTAGCTGAGCAGGACAGTCCCTCTCAGTGGACAGCGTTGGCATCCTTAGGGGATGTAAGTGTCCAAGCAGTACTTTGAATCTTGCTTCAAAAATAAATAGTCTCTAAAAGTAGGATCCCCCTCTCTCCAGAGATCAGATGTCTAAACCAGGAAGGAAAACGCATCTGGGTACACTAATACTGTAATGGGGACTTGGGTTCATGCTCCGTGCTAAATGGTGTGCCTGATTCAAGTGTCACTGAGTTGTTGGTAACAAGCATATAGACAGACGCTCTCTGAGCTTAGCTGCTACCCTAAGTACTGTTGCTTTACTATGGCATTCTGCACTAGATTACTAGCTCAACAGCTACCATAGCTATAACGCTCCTGACACACGCATCACCCTCCACCATGCAGAGCCTTCTTCTCTTCGAGGATCTAGCCCAAAATACCCTGTGGATTTAGCCTGTGTCCATTGAAACAGATTTTCCATTTCTATACGATTTTATTGCTATATTCTTAAATTACATGAAAGTATGTAGAAAAGATATCCCATCCTAACTGGTCCTTATTTAAGCAATCACAACTTCCTCCTATGGTAAGTCCTTTCTATTGTTCCTGAGGTGGACTCCTGCACAGCACTCAGACAAAGGCAATGCACCCAAACTGAACTATGTATGATTTCCAAACATGTTGATGCAATATGGAAGGAGATGACCTGCTCTTGCAAAGTTTAGAGCACACATCTAGAAGGTTTTGAGTTGTCTCAGCTTTTAGAAGGACATTCAGTCCTATGCAAAACAGCATAAAGTCAAGTTTTTTTGATGCATGGTTTTTAACACCGATGATAGAAGAGCAGCCTTGCAAATGGGGATATAAATGATGCCAGCAAGCCAGCTAACATATGGGTAGTGCTTCAAAGAAAGGAAGCAAGAGAAATAATCAGGAAAAGAAAAATAGATATGGTTTGATAGAATAAATGCAAAAATGTTGCTGGTGCCAAATTAAAAATAAATTCAGAGTTCTGAGATATAATACTCTAAGAAAATACAGTTATTGGAGACCTTTGCAAAGGACTTCAGGAAAAGCTATATCAAGAATGTAAAACAGTGCAGAAAAGATGTAAAGAAATGGTACTGAATTAAAAAGGTTAATTGCTAATGCTGTTATGTGATCAAATCTGTTCTGAATTTCTTGAACATTTTAATACTTAATGGTACACTGTTAAAGAGCTGTTTGGAGATTTAACCCTGTGACCCTCAATTAGTCATGGAGATGTAGACAAGACAAGTTGAGCAAAACTCTTTCAAGATTCATGTATCCATTTACCCCAAAGGGCACACATACCAATAACACAGAAATTTATGACAGACTAAGAAAACCCAGAGCATACCACTTGAATTGTTAAAAAGACAGAAGCTGTCAAAAGAGCTGTCTGTGCCTACTAGACCACCTGAGGCCGAGATATCTGTGTATGTTTCACTGTACCGGGTATACTTATATACTTATCTGACTGTGTGGTACACCAAACCTTTGTAACTTATGTCTAACCTCAGCGCAGTCTTTTCCATTGTTCCTGTTTTAAGGAAATGCATAAACTTTGCTGGTGCTGATAAGAAATTTTTCAGCTTTTATAGTCTCTGCTTTAATGTTACTCTAAGACTTCCTGTATGTCTTTGCCAATGACATAGAAATGCACATTTAAACACAAGCTTTTGTCATATTCTACTCAACCTATTATGGCGATGATTTCACAGATTTATGGGTTTACAAGCTTATCAAATAGAAAAAGGTGGAGGAGACAGGGAAAAAACCCCATTGTTTAAAAAAAAGTTAACATGCTAAGAAATACAGAAGACAGGTGATGACACATCCCAGTTGATATTTTCTCCAATCTGGAAGATGCTCACTACATGTAAATGAGGTTTGTGCTGTCAAAAGAGTATTAATTATGAAACAAAAATCTATAACCAAATACTATATATAAAAAAGCTCAAAAGTCTTCTGATTTATTTCTGTGGAATAGCTTTACAGCAATAGAGCACCGGCGGGTCACAAAACTATTAAGGTGGCACATGGACACATAATAAATATTATTCCCTACCATGTTTCCAATAAAAGGTTTAAGTATTGAGGTCTACTATAGCATACACGAAGTTTCAAATGTTGACTGCAGCAGATTGATCTAAGAGGTCTGGGAACCACATATTCCACTTCCAACAAGGGCTTTACAGCAATAGAGCACCGGCGGGTCACAAAACTATTAAGGTGGCACATGGACACATAATAAATATTATTCCCTACCATGTTTCCAATAAAAGGTTTAAGTATTGAGGTCTACTATAGCATACACGAAGTTTCAAATGTTGACTGCAGCAGATTGATCTAAGAGGTCTGGGAACCACATATTCCACTTCCAACAAGGTACAGCTTTAACAAGAATTTAATGTTCTTAGTAGATAATGTAAAACAGTGCAGAAAAGATGTAAAGAAATGGTACTGAATTAAAAAGGTTAATTGCTAATGCTGTTATGTGATCAAATCTGTTCTGAATTTCTTGAACATTTTAATACTTAATGGTACACTGTTAAAGAGCTGTTTGGAGATTTAACCCTGTGACCCTCAATTAGTCATGGAGATGTAGACAAGACAAGTTGAGCAAAACTCTTTCAAGATTCATGTATCCATTTACCCCAAAGGGCACACATACCAATAACACAGAAATTTATGACAGACTAAGAAAACCCAGAGCATACCACTTGAATTGTTAAAAAGACAGAAGCTGTCAAAAGAGCTGTCTGTGCCTACTAGACCACCTGAGGCCGAGATATCTGTGTATGTTTCACTGTACCGGGTATACTTATATACTTATCTGACTGTGTGGTACACCAAACCTTTGTAACTTATGTCTAACCTCAGCGCAGTCTTTTCCATTGTTCCTGTTTTAAGGAAATGCATAAACTTTGCTGGTGCTGATAAGAAATTTTTCAGCTTTTATAGTCTCTGCTTTAATGTTACTCTAAGACTTCCTGTATGTCTTTGCCAATGACATAGAAATGCACATTTAAACACAAGCTTTTGTCATATTCTACTCAACCTATTATGGCGATGATTTCACAGATTTATGGGTTTACAAGCTTATCAAATAGAAAAAGGTGGAGGAGACAGGGAAAAAACCCCATTGTTTAAAAAAAAGTTAACATGCTAAGAAATACAGAAGACAGGTGATGACACATCCCAGTTGATATTTTCTCCAATCTGGAAGATGCTCACTACATGTAAATGAGGTTTGTGCTGTCAAAAGAGTATTAATTATGAAACAAAAATCTATAACCAAATACTATATATAAAAAAGCTCAAAAGTCTTCTGATTTATTTCTGTGGAATAGCTTTACAGCAATAGAGCACCGGCGGGTCACAAAACTATTAAGGTGGCACATGGACACATAATAAATATTATTCCCTACCATGTTTCCAATAAAAGGTTTAAGTATTGAGGTCTACTATAGCATACACGAAGTTTCAAATGTTGACTGCAGCAGATTGATCTAAGAGGTCTGGGAACCACATATTCCACTTCCAACAAGGTACAGCTTTAACAAGAATTTAATGTTCCTTAGTAGATAGTTCTCCCAAAACTGGTCTCCTGTGCTTAGATTAATCTAACACCCACTTAAGATTTTTTTTGGACCATTAAATCATGGGGATTGCTTTTCCCTGGTATTAAGTTCAACAGCAATTGCTTATGTGAGGCATTTCAGAGGATAAATCCACTAACAGAAAATTATGGCTTATTTTACAGAAAATTACTCAATTTACTTATTAATTATGTGTAGCACACAGTGCCTAGATTGTTATTTAAATAACCATCAATCCTTAACACTTACTATGAAGCAAAAGAAAGAAACAACACATCTTTCCAGACTTCCGTGCTTCTGACGAACGCTTTATTCTGGATTTCTGAGTGTTTGTGAAAAACTGCTCAATTCCAAACTGACCAAGACCTTTTGTCTACTTAGGATTTTGTTATGGGTCTCTCAATTTTACTCCGAGGGACAGTACAGGAGAAACTGAACTGGGCTTTCAATTTGTATGATATAAACAAGGACGGATATATAACTAAAGAGGTAAGGTCTACTTTTTACACTAATCACTGAAACTGAAGGTTGCATATGTAAGTCCTGCTTTCAAAGAAGAATGGCTTCATTCTCAAATTAGATATGTTAACAAATAAACATATAACATATGAAACTAGACATGCTAAAAAATAAATTTTCTCATTTTAAAGGTATATATAAAAATTGAAAAGGGAAAATCATCACAGAAATTGTAAAAGGTCAGAATTCTCCAGGTACAGAAACGTTTGGCTTCAACTTATGCTTATGTATTGGCACATACAGTCACTAGAATAAAGTAGTTCAGTGGGATATTTGGACAAAAAAGAATTAAGTAAGTGGGCCACAATTGTTACGCATTTTACAAATCTACTTCTAAAAATTTTTATTTGAAACAGAATTTATATAAAAAGATTCCTGCATCTTTCACTCTGCAAGGATTTAAACACACACTTAAATTACAGTGGAACCAAATGAGTGCCTTCATAAAAATATATGGTTTTTCAAAATTGGGTCTTTATGTAAATATATATATATAATGCATAATGTTACACTTGCAGAAAAACACTTTGTGTTTATTATAAAAAGGAGATCTACAGAATAATTTCTCAGCATACTGGCAGATGACTTTAAAAAATAATTACTCTTATAGTTTTCACAAGCCACTCTATGAACAAAATTCAAAGCTTTTGATATAAAAGGAGGTCTTTGCATATTTTTAAAATAATTATTCTTATAGTTTTCACAAGCCACTCTATGAACAAAATTCAAAGCTTTTGATATAAAAGGAGGAGTCTTTGCATATGTGCAGGTGTGTGCATGGATGTTTCTATTTTCTCTAGGGAAAATTCAGTTGTAAGAAGCTGATGTGCTTTGACCATTCCCTTGCTGTTACAGAACTTCTTTTCCTGTTTAGTTCTATTCACAAGACCTCAGGGGAGATTCTTCCCACAATGCATGAACTTGCACGTATTCTAAATAATTTAAAATCAAAATCATACATCTGCATGTATTTCACAAGTTTATCTGTGAAAGCTGAACTAACATGCTAGAATTTCTAGGAACACAGTAGTTCCTTCTTGAAGCTGTTCAGTCATAAAATAACAGGCACAATCTCAAAATTTTATTCTAAAACATAAATCCTAAAAATCATTTATGTGTTCTGAGTCAAAGCAGTATCTACAATGCACCTTACATGACACAGACATTTTTTTCTCGTCAGGAAATGCTTGATATCATGAAAGCAATATATGATATGATGGGAAAATGCACCTATCCTGTTCTCAAGGAGGATGCGCCTAGACAACATGTGGAAACATTTTTCCAGGTGGGTCAGATAACACAGGGAGCCAAAAAGACTGCTCTGTTAGCAGGTATGGAAAGATTTTCATTGTTGTAACAGTTTTGCATATCCTATCGATTTTGTAATCCTTTTTCTTCTCTGTGGTTCCATCCCAAGTTTCTCAGATCTACTCATGACACCTTACTTTTTCAACAATAAGCTCCTTAAGCTTATTCTAGTATTTTACTTACTACATCTTTGCAGCGTTTTGACCTGGTTGTTCCTAGGCTGACACGTAACTGAAATGAATAATAAAAAGGACTTGTTTTACACAGGATTTCAGGAGGATAAACATACATTATTATTCTTTCTGAACAGAAAATGGACAAAAACAAAGATGGAGTAGTTACCATAGATGAATTCATCGACAGCTGCCAGAAAGTAAGTACCCAGTGATAAGTATTGAACCTGTATCTGTTGGCTAATACTATCCTAGTGCTACACAGATTCCTGGAGTGACAGTGACGGTAATCCTAATACTAGGGACAGCATTTTCCCAAGGTAGAGTATGTACGTACACTGCTACACAAAACCACTAAAAATGTAAATAAATTTGTGACCTGAATATGTAGTAGAGATGTTATACACAAGCTGTCATCCTTATTAGACAACTATGTCTGCATCCCCTCTCTCTTTAACAGTGTTTTCTCTGTACTTGGCAGCAAAAAGTTTCTTCACATTCAGCTAAATATTTACTTCTATCTTCTGCCCATGCTGGGGAACACATTCCTGTTACAATTGGCATATAGTCACAGCAATAATAATAATAATATTGCTTGAAAATTTATCATCTATAGGAGTGTTTCTCAAACAGCGAGTCATGACCTGCTGGAGGCCTTAAAAAGAGAGAGTGCAAGGAGCTTGCAAATTGTTGGATGGCAGGAGTTAACAGCAGGCAAGTTTTCTCAAGGCAGGGGAGTGAGAACTGATTGTGATTATCAATTGCAAGTATTTACACTACCCAGGTGGCTGTTAATTTCCTTCAATGGCTGAAAGCAGCTCATTGCCTCTTGAGCCAGGAATGAGAATAAACTTCTGCAGCAGGAATTACAGCCTGTTTCCACTCCTCTGCCCTTCAGAAACCAGCTTGCTCTCAGACCAGGAGACGATACAAGGAAAGATAAGTTGTATTTTCAGAAATTTAAGTTACTGCTTTTAATTTGTCAGTTAAAAAACACAAGAAAAAAACATGATATAGAATCATAGAATCATAGAATCATTGAGGTTGGAAAAGACCTCTAAGATCATCGAGTCCA